AATGGGTCTGCAAAATTAGGTACACACTGTTTGGTGTGGGGACACATAAATAAATGTATGTGATTAAACTACACACAGTGTGTAGGTTTAAAGAAAAAAAATTATCATACCTTTTGCTTTTACTATACTTTTAGAACATATTTGCTATAAGCTCACTAATGAAGACCAGTTAAACACCCAACCCAAACAGCCAGCATACCCTGTGGTGTAATTTAGGCACCATAGGAAGAAACCTACACTGCATTACCTTCCATCATAACACACGCCATAAAAACCAAATAACCAGTACCATTAAACATTTAGATCGTCCGGGGTTTGGGATTCATTGAGAGTGGGTCAGATAAAGCTACCATGATAGCCACCTTGAACCTGATAGGCCTCTTATCCATTCACCACCTTACAGACCAACAGATCGAAGAACATAAAGAGTGTGTGCCTGCAAACAAACCCCACTAGTAGACCCCAGGGAGAGGAGGGGCAGGGGAGAGGCACGAGCCAAGTCCCTTTCAAATGAGGGAGATAAATCTATTGATTTGAGATCAGCGTGCTGCATTACTGCTGCTGCTGGCCCAGGGGAACAGGGAAGTGAAGGAGGGTGTAATGATGAAGGTAGTTTTCAGCTCTGCTAGGACTAGACTAGCTAAACTGCAATATCTCAACAAATAATTGGATGGAATGAAATAAAGTTTTGTACAGACATTCATGTTCCCCTCAGGATGAGTTGCAAATGTTAGCATGCTAACACACTAAACTAAGATTGTGAACATGGTATCAGTTATACCTGCTTGACATAAGCATGTTAGCATTGTCATTGTGTACTTGTTAACTTGTAATTACACCCTAACAAAGCAGCTAGCATGGCTGTAGACAGCAATTCTTGTGTGACACCAGCAGGTAGAGGCTTTGATTTAGTATTCCAGAAGTATTCCAGCTAAAAAATGCATACAGACACAGGATTAACTAGGGTTAGAAAAGACACCCTGCACGCTGAAATCTTACTTTGATACTTAACATGCAGATGGACTCCTGACCTGAAGTTGGTGGGTATGTATGAAGTAAGAAAAACAGGCACTTCAGTGCCAACAGGCTCAACAGATCTGAGCAGCTGATAAAGGGTTTTCCTGCAGACAAGTGGCAGACCACTAAAGTCCACTAAAACAGTTGCCTTTCAGGAGAGTGAGTAGAAGTTGTGCTGTAATTAACATCTCACAGTAAGTGTTCCATATTAAGCAGATTCTCTGGGCTCTGTGGTGATGTAGAAGGAATATATATTTACCGTACAGACATAAGAATGATAACAATCGTCTCATCTAACTCGCAAATGAGCATATTTCTCAAAATGTCAAAATTCTTCCTTTAGGCGCTTCCATTAAAGATGGAAATGCCATAAGGTTTACCTACAACTCAACATAACCAGAAATTCAGCTACTAGAGCAACAGGGTAACTTAATCCGGCATTGAAAAGGTTATCGATTCTTATTAGCTCCATAGAGCCTGCAGACTCCGGTCTAGTCAATGTTAGTAGGTAGTTGAGCTACATTTTGTTGTAACAGGAGACAAGAAAGTCCTCACACTCATTAACCCTTTTAGATGGGCTACATTGAGCAGCAGGCAAAATATTTCTATTTTTCCATCAATATTTCATCACCAGTTCAGGCCAAACAAAGCCAGGGGCTTTGACCGTAATGGTCCCATCTGTCTATAGATCTTAAGGACATCAGCGTATGGGTGTCCTTTGACACCAGAAAATAGGCTTCGACATCAAGGAAAAACACTCCCACACACTCACAGGATCCATGCATGTTAGCTAGCCTGGAAGGCAAAGTGTATCCTGCTTTATTTTGATGGTTCCTCACAGATGGTCTCTTGATGATGTAGCAGGAGATCAAGTTTCAAGAGTAGGAATGGCATGGACATTTCAGCTATTAGGACATATCAGCTCTGTTAGAGTACGTCAATGGCATTTATACCCAATTAGTGACCGGAGCTGCAGTATTAATGAACAAATTAATACAAATAACAGCTGGAAATTTCTACTCCCCTCTCAGCTGATAGTTTTCTGTCCTCAAGTGCCTGGGTTTGCTCAGAATGACTTTCACAATTCTAATTTAGCCAAACCAGCCACCACATTAAGAACATCTGTTTAATCAGCCTCAAAGATTAGTTCAGAAAATATTAGCTGTTCATCCTCTGATTTTTACTCCACTTCATGTTACCCATGAATATAAAAAGTATATTAAGCCAACAGTATTGGCATGGTATCCTGGCCTGTAAATCGCTCATTGTTTCTTAGCAGTAAGAGAGTGACCTCATTATCTTTGCCAGGCCCATTAGCTTTCTGCACAAACCTCAGGGGGCCAGTCCATTAACCCCTTACCTGCTAAGTAAAGTAGCGTTAAGTGAAATGTTCAGAAACAAGGAGCAATTGACAGTTTATTGGTTTATTGAGATATCACTGAGTGTTCTTATTACATGCTCGGATAAAATAAAGTAACAGAGAAATGAAAGGATGAAGTCCAATGATTTGAAGTACTTGAGTGAAATTCGTCAGTTAAAGTAGCAAATGTTCAAATAATTTTCAATGCACAAGTTGAATTTTAATAAAATGTGGATTCTTGAATGTAGAAAAGGACCAGAGACAGGGGGTCGCACGTTACAATGTCTCAATAGGGCTCACGTGGCTTGGGTTACACAAGCAACAGCAAAGGAAAGCCACTTCGGCCTCTAATTGGTGGTAATTAACCTCCCATGGTCATTGTTCCTGTCTCATTGTGTTTTAAGAGGAGCGGTCACTGAACATGGGAGCCTTTTCCACACAGACAGGTAGACGAAGAGCACAGATCGAATGACAATAAAATATTCTGATGGGTAAAAGACATTCTGATGTCCTTTGTTTGGTTAATTATTTCTTATTGTCCCCACAAATGAACATCACTGTTGCTTTGTGAAAACCTAAATAATTTACCAATGCTTTTTAGATTATAAATATTTATAATTGAGTTATTACCAAATGGAAGGATTGCAAAGACACCAGCCAAACTATTATTATTTTTTTTTTACATTAAACCAATAGCTTATAGCTTATCAATACACTACTTAACCGTTGCTATTAGTTTCAACTAACAATCCATTTCTTAAATGGCTCCTTATTAGTAAAGTAGCAAAACAAACACAACAAAAACTTGCACCTTAAAATCAAGCATCTCTACGCTTCCTTATATTCCCAAACATCAATCATCCATTTCCAGCATGGCTGCCCTCTTATCGCCAGCGGCACTTCATCTCAAAAGGTTATAGACCCTGATCCTGAACAATAGCCTCCTTTGTACTCGTGCTGTTGGAGAGTTACAAGGACTTGAGGGTTAGTGGACCTGGACTCCTGATGAGACACGGTCGCACAGGAGCGTCCATTAAGGCTTGGCCCTGTGACGCAGTTAACTTTCATGTTGCGCTATTGTTATATGGCTCTCCTGAGAGGTGGACACAGAGTGGATAATGAGGGGTAATTGGTCCAGGGTCAAGGATGATTAATTCCCTTGGTCAGGTGTCAGTCAGTTTTCATACCTGGCTGGCTGGGTAGACAAGTAGGAGGGAGGGGAAAGTGGGTGGAATATGAGACATGGTAGATGAGTGGGTAAGTAGATGTGTATCCAGGTGCGCACGTACATGCACAGTCAGGATTTTTGCTTAGAGAGCTCTGTGTTTCAATAAAACTTAAAATCCCCGAAAGGACTTCACACCCATCTTTTTATTCATAAAACAAAAAAGCACATTGTACAGGACAGCTATCACGTCAGGAAAAATTTGCCGGGATCATATCTTTCCAGAAATAAAGTTAAAAGGTCACCACGATCCTCCCCCTCCAACCACTGAAGCCAGATTGAGATTGATAGCTGTCCCCATCCCTCTTACCTCCCCTTCAGCTTGACTGACTAATCTGAATACCTCTCCATCCATCCCCTTTTTCTAACCGGGCAATTGTGGCCACTGATTATCTTGCAACCTGTGTGTGCACGACAGTAAATGCAGGGGCTGGCTGGTAATTGACCAGGCAAAGACCGAGACGCCTGCCGTGTAATTGAGCGGGGGGCTGAGGGGCTCTTTAAGGACTGAAAGGGTCTGAGGATCCCTCATTGCCCATTACACCTGGCAGGGGGTCTCCTGCGCCTGTGGACTCCACCTTGAGGCCCACACCGTACCCAACACTTCAATCCAAGAATGACATCTTTCAGTAGTGGGAACCGAGGGGAGATGCACACAAAACAGTTGCTGTCCCCTCCAGACTGAAGGGTGATAATAGTATGGAGCATATTGTATCACTTATCTGTGTGGCTGTCGTGTCATTGTGCAAAACAGTTTTTTTTTGCTTGATGTTAGTGTGCATTAAAGCTTTTTCACCCTTATGGTCACATATTGACAAATGTTTTCAATCCACAAGCAATGTGAGCCTGAGGAAAACAGAGCTCAACCATTCCAGGTTTATCCAAAAAAAAAAAAAAAAAAAAAGGTAATAATGAATGACACATTATTCTTCTCCCTCGTTCCTGCTCTCTATGCCTGGAGACCTTATACAGAGTAGGGAAATATGTATATGTATGCAACATGTATGGCCAATTGGTTTTTCTTCCATCTGACTTGTGCCATTTGAGCTCAGAAATGGCCTCATCACTTCTGCTCCAGTGGCTATCAGCAAGCCACCATGTTGACTTTTGCCTGTGTCAAACCCATACACTGCTACCGCTTCATCTACATATTGTAAATATGATATGGTGTCCTCGCTGCCCCGAAGTCTTCACGGGGCAGTGCCTGCATAGTCCCAAACTAAAGTTAAACAAGCAGGCATTAATAAATAGGCTGTCTGCCAAAGACATGAACACTTAATCACTGACACATTTAAATTGACAGGGGCTGATGTGTGTCGCCAAAGTGTCTGCATGTAAACTGATGATAAAGGCTCATAATTTTCTGTAATGAATTAAGAAAAGTGCTGAGTAAGAAAATACACAATTCACTTGATTTTATTTTTGAAACAAAGAATCCTTAGATTTAATATTTGCAGTCAGTTAATGACCTACTGATGCCGAGAATGAGAAATCCAGTAGATCAAATACTAAGAAATCCATACAATGAAAATTCTTATCCACATGGAAATTTCTTTACACCCAATTTAAACTATTTTCCTGTCTTTATGTTACATTTCGTACGTTTTTCTTCCTCCACTCTTCACCACCTAAGAAACTTCACGGTTTTACAGTAAGATTCTGGTGTGCTTGATACTGATGCTAATATAATGCAGAGTAGACAATAAGGCAAAAAGGTAGGCAATGGAGACACAAAGTCTAAACCTACTACTGCTTAAGACACAGTGGAGAGAAGAAAGGTGGTTCAAAGGACTGCAGTGGTTACTTCTTGGTGCTGGAGAAACCCTGCAGACGATGGTGTTCCCTTAACCTGTGGAGGAGAACAAGAAGGTAAAAGAATAAGATGTCAGTTTCCAGTGTAGGTATAAGGGTCATGCATGTGGACCACATTAAATATACAAGTTTTGAAGGTTTTATACAGCTGTTGGTTATTTCTCTTAAGGCTAAAGGGATACTTACCTGACCGCATTTATCCTGATGAATCCAGAGGCATCACATGGATCGTAGTCTCCCTGCACATCCATGCTAGAGTGAGCCAAGAAAGAGGCAGATCAATTTTGAGACTGGAGGAAAACATAGCTCAGGAGAAAAAGTTACAGGATATTCTGGTTACAAAATGATTGAAATGTTTGGTATCACTGCAGTAAACATAAGAGACATGGAGCCTCATCAACTACTGGGATAACTGGATCATTGATAATCTGCTCTTTTGAAATAATGTTCCAATCGATTTCCCCTTGAATGCTCCTCTTTAGCATTGTTAGTCCTGAATAAAAGGAGAAGCAATATTGGAGAATGAAAACATGCTCATGTTCACAAGCGCACAAAAGACGCACATAACCCATTTTAAAACAATCCCATCATATCAACTCTGAGCTGAATGTGGAGACGATGTTGTAATCTGATGTTTCTTCCAGTTCATCCACTTCGTCTAAAAAGGACGTAAATCTATAACTTGTGCCACTGCGTGTTCTATGTTGCTCAGGCTGCTTGTTGTAAAGTCTCTTGTTAGTGTGTGTGAGTGTTTCACAAAGAGTGTCCGTGTGCTGTGTAATTACAGCAGTTTCTACCTGCAGTGCTTAATACACTCCCTCACTGAGTCCTCTCCTCCCTACGACACCCCCAACTCCCAGTGTACAGCTTGCACTCTTTCTTCAAAAGCACTTAGCAAAAGAGGAAATTGCCAACAAATGATAGGATAAACACTATAAAAAGAAAGACAGACAACTAAATCATCAACTCTCAATACAAGGCTCCCTACTCGGCACCTGAACACCATTATGAGTGACTGGCTACAAAGAATATGGGCACTCTTTGTGTGTGCGCGTGCGTGCGTGTGTGTGTGTGTGCGCACGCGTGTGCATGCGTGCTCGCAAGCATGTGATATTTTGTGGATTCCCTTAAGAAACCCTGCAGTCTAATTGAGAGTAGAGCCAGCGGACAGCGAGGAGGGTGACATTTCTGTCTCAGACGGGTGCGGTGGCAGGCTGTATTACCACTGTGTTAATGACGCCGTTTACTGTTGCCCATGGAGGGCCAACAGGATGTCAGCGGGGGTTTCATGCCTAATCTGGTCTGTGTATGTGCGTGTGTGTGACGGTCACGAGTAGTCATGTAGCGGCAAGTGTGTGTGTGAGACTGCTGCTTCCAGGTGTATCGCTGTCAGGTACAGTACATGTACATATGCATATAACGGCACTGTTTTAGCACTGCATCCTGACTGATACATTAGCAAGGCTGAGATTATCTGCCAATTTTGGTGAATCATAGATATATTTATATTGTCAGACATGAACAAAAAATTGGAGAGCACCAAACGGCAGCATTAAAACGCCTGATGTTTTTGTACATTTATTTTTGTCTCATCAAACTCGGAGGGCCAAATCATACATTTTCCATCCATTAATTCCAGTTAAATATATATAGTATAATAGTTTCTGATTCATTTGTGGGGGGTTTATTTTTATCTGCAACTATTTATTCTTTTTATTAATTTTTCAAGCAAAAATGTCAAGCAAAAAAAATGGTTGTTTCCAGCTTCTTAAATCTGAGGATTTGATACTTTTGTTTGTTATAGTATATATGATAGTAAACTGACTATCTTTTGGGTTTGGATTGTTGGGAGGTTAAAATATTAAAAAAAAATTAAAAAGGGCATAATAGAGAAAACTATCAATTAATTGAGACAATAAATGGCAGATTAAATTAAAAAAAAAAAATCACTGCAGCCATAATGTAATGTTATGTGGATTAATTTAGAACAGTGATGAGCGTATAGGAAAGATGAGTATTCTCCATTAGCATGGTATAAAGTTATGTGTTATTGTGCATGGCTGCATTAGAGACTGATTTCTGATTGCTTATAATAGTGAAGTTTGTAACATACTCCCTTATGAAGAACCACTGTGGCCATCTGTCAGTTGCCTCGAGGTCTTTGTGATGTTGCAACACAACACCTCTGACACACATACACACACACACACGTTGTCAAAGCTAAGGCATGTGTCTCTACAAGGATCAGGTGTTGGACTGAGAACACAAGCCTTCATTAGTGAGAGTTTCTTAGCAACTGACTGGTTCAAAGATTGATGAGTCATAATTTATCTTGAAGAGTGACTCAGCAGTTGGTTATTAATTGTTTTGCTGAAAACAGAATACAAAGGAACAAGCTAATACAATATGGGTTAATAGGGGCTGAATGAATAAACAGTCTGAGTAAAGTATAATCTCTCTCGATCACACTGGACAAAATATAAACTTGGGTATTGATTTATTTTTCTCCCAGGCGATTTCGCTTGCCAAACCACTCCAAGGAATTGAATGTCTGACTGTGTGAGACATGTTTCTTTGACTCCATCTCCCTGACCTGCTTAACTAGCATGACACCCATGTCCTTTCCCGTTAAAAGCCCAGAAATCACCTCTCTCCTCTGGCTGAAAACGCCATTAGATCTCTGACTCTAGGGTACAACAGGAGCGTGTGTGACCGAAGTGGAGATGGAGAGGCATATGGAGGGGTTTTACTTTGGTCAGTGGTGAGCCTGCCCAGAGGGCATCAGGGGTCGGCCTCCTGAACAAACCCACTGTTACCACAGCTCAGAGGCCAGGGGGGTGCAGTAGGAGGGGCTGGGTTCGGGGGCCTGCCCTCCAGGAACTGAGCTTGACACTTCTCTTATGTCTTTGTGAGGCAGGGTCGGTTTAGTATGTTGATGTGTGGGGGGGGGGGATCATAAGAGAACTTGGGCAAGCTGACCTAACAACAGGCTGGCTGCTGAACATGTGGAATAGCTGCACTGTGCCCAGAGCAGCCAAACACAGCTGTCAAGTCAGAACAAGAACACACTTTCATTCACTGACACATGGTTACTTCTGTTTTAAAAGCACAAATACACAATGCCTTTAATTCTGTCCTAGCTTACCTGACCAACTCCTCATTGTAAAGGGACTTTGGTGACTCTCGTCCCAGGATGTAGACCTGACCCTTGAAGACAGATAGCTGTACTTTGCCCTCCACGTTCTCCTGGGACTTGGCGATGCACTGTCGCACAAAATCACACTCCGGACTGTACCAGAAGCCTGAGAAGAGCAAGAAAACAGCTGCATGTTAACAAAAAGGCATGGTTGTACAGGTTTATTAAACAAAACCCTCTTTAAATGCTCTGATTATGTTGCCCAGTGTCACCTATAGGACAAATAAAAAGTTCCACTAGTTTTGTTGATATTTATATATATTTACATTTATTGTTATACATGTTATATGGAATGGAAAACAATATATAGGATGGACATGCGAAGAAAGAGGCTCCTTCTGTGAAAATCCTCCATTAGCAGCAGGGTCCCTCTTTCATGAGCTAAAACTCTCTCTGTGCTTTGGTCTCATTTCTGTTCCAGGTGAAGTTCATACACCCCTTTCTTTTGTCCCATTTCGCTGACCTGGGCTCGTCAGCCTCTGAGACAGATGGGCGAGGGATGTGTCTGTATATGTTCAGAGGTCGGGCACGCCCCACTCAGCAGGGGTCCTCCTCTCATCAGCAGCTGACCTCCACCTCATCGTCTGGCCATGTTCAAAGACACAATCCTTCCTTGCTTTCATTGCCTCTGAATTGGCACAATGTGTCTGACATGACAATTGCACACAGGCCCCAGTTTAGTGTGGAGTCAACTAGATTTTATACGATGTCAGTTCTGTCTGTGTCACTGTGTGTGTGTCTGTATGGTGGTTATTTAATGAGATTTCTAAAATTATTTTCATCATCAATCATTTGGTCAATTTAGTTTAACAAATAATGAAAAATACCTTTCATCTGAAAGTGTTGTTTTTAATATGCTTAACAACAGTTAAAACTTTCCAATGATATGAAACCGGGAAAAGCAAGCAAATATCTGCTTTTACTTGATAAATGACAAACCATTAGATTAGTTCTCAAAACTGACTTTGCAGAATTTTCTTTTATTCAACTAAGCAATTAATTGACCACAAACACAGATGTAGCTGTTGTTTATTTTCCAATTGTCAAACACTTGCTGCACCAGTACTGCACTACCTTTAATTTCTGTATATTCTCTCATGAAAATTTGTTTGGGTAAAGTGTGACGTTATTAATGCAAAACAGATGCAAGACAGGTGGATTGTTAACATAAGCCCCACTGCGAGCCTTCTGCTATCTGCAGAGTTATTAATGATTTAAACCTTCAATGAGTTTAATCTCTGCCCTGCTTCTGAAGGTAGCACCTTTATGCGTGTGGGTTTGCTTCCCGTCTCTGGAGAGTATAACTGAAGTGGCCTAGTAGTCGTCTCTAATGGCACTGATCCTATTATGTGGATGAAGGTGCAGGGGACTGGAGACTGAGCAGAGGGGATGATTAAGACACCTGAGCCAAGAAAAGCTCACACACGTATGCAAACACACTGAACAAACAGAGACGTAGGTACGCATTTTAGACGTTCACTTCTGTCTTATATGAACTCCAAAGGGATGTTGAGCCTTCAGTTTTTATGATCTGATTTGTCAGCATGTAAAAATATAATATTGTGTAATGCCAAATCATGGTACTTGTAACCTGTCCTGAAATCAATATATGGCATGCCTAGCTGTAAAATATCATGATTAAGCAATATGTCTGGAAAGAAAAGAGAAAGACAATACATCTAACAGAATAAGTGAAGTATAATTTAAGATTATGTATTTTAGAGACTTACCATTGTAGACGAGTTCTGAGAACTTGATACTCAGTCCCTGTTTGATCCGACGGACCTCTTTGTCCATGGTAAAGGTCTCGATGTCTAAATGGGCATTCAACAGAATTGTGCCTCCGGGGGTTTCATATATCCCTGACAAACAAAGGAAAAAAGAAATCAAAAATGAAATGAATGAATATTTGCAAAAAAAACACAACACAGTTGTTCAGTTTTTGAACAGGAATGAAGAGATCAGTTAGGAGATGTATGCATCTTTACCAGCCTGTTTAATGTTGTCCATCTCAAATATTTAACATAATATCTTGTCATTATCATGATTTTATAAAGTATACCACCTTTTAGAGACCCAAAATGAAAGAAATTGTGGAAAAAATACTGACATAGTACACATAATTTCCTCCAATGCACCCCTTAATTTGATCACAACCATGATCAGAGGCCATTCATAGGAGCATAAACTACAAGCCCTGTTCATCTGAACTAACTACAAGCAAACAGCTCTATTAGCCATCAGTTGTCTAACAGACAGGTCTTCACAGTGCTCACAAAACATGGATGATCCTGTCCTGGGTAAATGACAGGGTAGGAGGCCCCTGCCAGCCTGGAGCCTGGACCAAGGCTCTGCCTACCCTGCAATTTACCCCCTCTGGACAGGGAGGGAGGGGTGAGAGGAGAAAAGATGAGGTAAATGACAGGAGGAATGAAGCTGTCACTCAAATGTCAGCTAAAACAAAAGGAGGGCAGGGAATACGCTAGATGACAGATCTGACAACAGAAATAGGAGCTTTATCAATGACATCCATTTTCGTGAGAGCAGAGATTTTGAAAAACTGAGTGCCATTTCCCCATCCAATACACGGTTCCTCACATCATCTGTCAATTTGAATGATATTCACTCTTCTTTTGATTCAAGCTATGCTGCCAAGCTCCCATAACCAACACTTCACTGCACACCAGGCTGCCAAATTTCACAGAGGTGTTCCCTTGATTCCAAAACTCTTTCCTGAGATTTAACAGATGAATGCTATTTAATCTCTTACAATCTGCTGAGCATTGGAGCTCAAATCTGTACGACCACAAATACTCTAGCACCAGTCCTGATCTGAAAATGGAGAAGCACTTACTTTGTGCAGGCAGCCAAAAACAGAGCTTAGCAATGCTGCTAATTGTCTAAAGCCTCAAAAGGTTTCCACCTGATCCAGAACGGCTTGTGGCCTTTTGGTGATCCAGGGCCACAGAGGGCACATAGGGACATTTCCACTGGCTCTATCAGATTATTGAGTTAAAACTGCCCTCCAACACAACTTGGCTTAAGTGTTCCAAAAGAGAGCTAGCTAACAGAAAGGTGCAAACAATGAAACGCTATCTAGGTAAGCTCCAACTGTGGCAGTTTTGTTAAGCTTAAAGAGACAACACCCCCAGTGGTTTTTGAGGTTTTAATCTTTTATATGGTTACTGCAGGTATGCTAACTATGCTGCAGGCCTGAAGGGGTTCAGGTCAGGAGTTAATTCTTCCTGAGCTGATCCCCTCTGACCCTTTGGGCAAACGGTTAGCCCAGCATAAACAGGCAACACATGTAAATAAAAGCAGATAAATGAGACTGACAGAAAAATCACATTTTAACGTGAAATAGTTTGCCATTTAGTGTTTGGACATTTCTGTATAAATCATATCAATAAATGAAAATTTATTTAAAAAATAAACAAGCAAATACATTTCAAATATTTTTTGACAAAAAAATTTAAGTGCCACTGCCTTGGAGTTTGAAAGCAGCAAGAATTGGACATGAGGCAGACTGTTCATCAAAACATCCAGCCATTTCCGACTGCTTTTCATAGGTGCACCTCAGCTAACGGCGTCACCGGTGCACAGGTCAGAGGGTTGACAGCACTGTGACAGGTGGGAAATGTTAGTCTGGCACACAGGCTGTTCAATGTTTTGTGGCACAGTGACAACATTCTTGACAAACCATTTCAATCCCTTCCGCTTCCCTGACCCCACACAAATAAATGTGACCCAACACAAATAGGTATGACATGTCCCCATTCAATCCCTCCCATCATCTATTGTGCTAACGCGACTTTCATTCCAGAGGAGACCAACATGTACACTCGATGGTAGTTATTCAACCACTTGGACACCTTGTGCTCAACCTCTTCCTATTGCTTCAGTAGAGGGAAAAGCTTTGATCTTTTGTTCAGCCGAGGGGAGAGAAAAGTGGGCTTCCCATTTTCCAATTTCTACCTGCCAAGTTGCGCCACAGCCACAGTGTGTTGGCCAGTCAATTTGCCAATCATAGCACATAGCGTTGTGGGGGGAAAAGGAGTGTGTATCTGTGTGTGCATCAAAAAAGGAAAGAACAGCTCAATGGCCTTGTATATTAGCTGCAGTAACACATGTAGAGACCTAACAAAGGAGTTTTTTTATTTGCCTGTTGATACCAAAGACAAAAAGACAAATACATCCGTGTGCAACTGCATGGGTCGACTGTGTATTTGTGTGTATCCAGTGAAGCATGTGCGCCGTTTTCTTATTCACAGTGTGCTTTCGTTCTCTATTTGTGTGCATGTATAAGTGACTGCAAGTAACTTCAGTGTCTATGATTCCAGGTGAACCAGAGTAAAACATTTCCTTTGAGGAGAGTGTGCCACTCAGCCCACTTTTATGGAAGTGGAATAGCAAGTGTGTCACTTAAAGCACTCATGTAAAATAACTGCAAATTGCATGAAAGCCCTGGATACTGAAAGGAAAGCTTCTGAATGAATGTAAAATTAAGTGCAAATATGTCCATCTCTCTGCATTTACAGTGTATATCACCGTTTGTGTACGTGAGGAAGCCTGTCAGACTAATTTGACATAAATAGAAAAATGTCATAACTAGACAGATAAAAATAAATATAATTTTTAATTCCTTACCTCGGGACTTCATTCCAATGAAACGGTTCTCTACGATGTCAATTCGGCCCACACCATGCTTTCCACTAAGAGAAAAACCAGGGAGAGTAGACACGCTCATACATTAATTTCACTTTTAAATAAATTAGCCCACGTAAGGAGCCTTCTACATTAAGTGAATTAACTGCCTGCTAGTCAAAAACATGATCATTTAAACAATACAATATTAAAAATTCCAATTAATGAGCAAAAAACATACGACACAACAGCCCTACACATTGCTAGGAAAGAACTCACAGATTTCTCCGCATTATAAATAGCTGTTGCATCTTCTACTAGCAGTCCAATTCATTCATCATTTCCTCAAGTATGATATTTTGAAAAGCTACTGACTAGTTTGTGATGCATAAAATTAAGCAGCACTAACTTAAAACAGACAAGAGTTCAATGACCGTGTCTAAAGTTGATGACAATTTCACAAAAAATAAATAAATAAAAAGAAAATTGAAAGGAAATCTACACCTGCAACATAAAGCATAGAGTTTAAAAGTGGTAGAGGAAACAGATTTTTCTTTGGTATCAGCCAGCCCAACTTCAGTACTTTTCATTTATTTCAGACAGTTGGAAAGCAGAGGGGCAGACAGAGTGGAGGAGACACAGGAGGGAAACCTCTGGTGGGATTCGATCCCAGGCCAGCAGCGACAGACACACATCATTCAAGAGGTGGTGAACTTAACCACTGCTCTAACTCTGGGGACACTTACAATTCTGTTAGAGATGCTTCCTTACACTGGACATCTTACAAATCCTACATGGAAAGTAAAACTGCTTTTCAATAAATGTTTAACAGACATTAGGATAAGCCATCTAATGCTTACCCAATATCATTGAGGTATAAGTAGATATCCAGTGGTGAGTCCTTGGATGTGCCTTCCTTCATGTTTGACACCTTGAAAGGCACTCCTAATGGGGGAAAAAAAAAAATTGGGATTACAAACATTTACAAACATACAGAAACTAGAATTACTTGCAAAAGAGTAAGTCATTGCGATGCATTAATAAAGTGAAAATTATCTTTTTGATGTGGGGGGAAAAATATCTTGCAGTAGTATACCACAGTTACCCATGCTATTTGTAGTATTTGAATTTATCTATTAAAGCAGTGGACTTTCCTACTAGAAATATACACATGAAGTATTGAATACAACACAGAAAAAAAGCAGCCAGTTTGCTGGTTAAGAGCTGATGGAAGGATAGTTCTTGTGTCTTGTGTTTGATTCTTGTGTTATGAGAATTCAATGACATGCTTTAATATAGAGCAGTAGATCAGTCTATAAGGATAAGGTTGGGAACCAGAGGGTTGCCAGTTCAAGTCCAGCTTGGACCAAACTTGCAAAGTGTGTCCCGGTAGTAGGAAAGGTGCCAGTTCACCTTAAGTTTCTTAGCCAAAGGTGGCTAACAACAATAATAGTAGATAAAAGTATCTCTTCTTAATTCATAGTAGAGGGTTTTCTCATTGCACTTTTATCTCTTTGTAATATCATTTACAGAGACCCAACAACTCCCACCATGAGCAAGCAGAAACCTTGAGCAGAACCTAGATTCAGGCAGAGCGGCCAACTGCCTCCACCGGTTGGGATCAGTTCCTCCAACAAAGTTTTATGATGTTTCTAGTTTTGATTTACTTTGTTTTTGCCATAGCAATTATACCTATACAGCCTTTTAATACAAAGATATATTGCCATTCACTGCCAGTAATTTTTTGAATGTTTATAGGACTCAAACTACACTTGTGTGAATTCTTATGGTAGAAAATGTGCCTAAATGCAAATCTAGCAATACAAAGGTCTGACATTACCTGTCAGACTGGTCTTTGCTCTTCGAGAATGCAAGTGAGATTAGAGAAATCAACACATAGCCAACAAAGAGCAATGAGTAAAAAGTTTCACCTTTACACAGCCTAGTTAATCAACAGTTTGGGGAAAAGGCTTTTCAAAAACTAATGGAAAAGTTTGTTTCAACTGACAAAATCGTCAAAATAAACAGCAAAGAGTTGATCAAATCTGCTGACAAGCGCTTATTATCTCAGTCACTGAAATCAATAGTAGGCAGCTAAAAGTGAAAATCACTACAAAAGGAGCTGGTGAGAGGGGCTAATAAATTCAAAGGCCCTGCTCATATGAAAGCTGTGAAATCGTGGGCAGGCCTTTACCTAATTAAATTACTCATGCAGCTTTGTTACCCATACTCTCTTTAGTGCTGAGATTTTTTGTGCCACTAAGTGTTTGTGTGTTCATGCGCATGTGCAGGAGACAAAACTACTTGCAGATTCATCACCTATCTTCCCATTACTGTGTCTCTAGCACAGTTTTTCTTAAAAAAACAATAAATAAAGACACCCACGTTCACCCAACACACTTCCTCTCCAAAGCCACTTAAACCAAGTACACATCAATCATTGTCATGGACCTGCTTATTGAAGGCCTTCTATGAGCAACACGGGCCAAAGGTGGGGGTGCAAACTAAAATGAAACATAGGTGCGTGTCCACAGTCTATGGTTGAGAAGGGACTATAACCATTTAAGAACTACACATGGAGATGAAATGAGAAAACCAATCTGCCGATATTCACTCTCCATGCGTCCAGCCCTATACATCCTTTAGCGTGCTTGCAGTTGTCAGTCAAATAGCCTTGAAGACAGGAGCGGCACTTAAGCGTTTACAAAGCCCTGATAGGAATGACACGTGAAGGACTTGACAAATTTTTTTAGACAAGGGCTTTGTTGATGGCCCATTCTCATATCGCGGGAATCGTGGTAGCTCCCATGGAGGAAGAATAAAGTAGCTCCCGGTGCAGGAGAGGGCAGTATGGATGATGCATTACTAAAACTGCACCCCCTCCCAGATACCTAATAATTAGATTAAAAGTTCAAATAAATTAAGTGTCTGAACGTGGGAGTGTAGGGGCTGGCCTTTCGTCCCTGTGCTCTCTCTTTCCTCGCTCTCTCCATCATGCGGGTTCTATCATTCACTGAAGGGTCTTTTTCTCCCCGTGATCCTTTTCTTGAGTTTTTCGCAGCCTAACAGTGCAGACAATGGGAGCGCAGACACAGTTGTAGGAAAAATTACTGCTTTACATTTTTCCCTCTCTGTCTCTTTTTCCTCTCCACTTCTTTGGTATGAAAGGAGGGAGGGATGACATTTTTTTCTTAAAAAAAAAAAAAAAAGGAAAAAAAGGGAGAGGGACGGGGAATGGAGTGTTTGACGGGGGAAAAGGTTCCTGTCGTTAAATATTCTTTTTTAATCAGTGAGAAAACTTTGGTGAGAAAGGCAGGGATGAAAAGGTGGGAGGGGGAATGAAATGAAACATTCTTGTGCTGATCTTGTGCTCAGAGGGAGGAGTAGGCTCGGGCCTTTGTGTGGACAACTAAAACAGCTTTTGTCACAGGGTACTCAATAAAAGGCACAGGGAATATGTGTGAAAACAGAGCGCGGGCCTGCTAAGAACCCGCGAAACCAGACTAGAAGTTACTACTGCATCACTGTTTTACAAAAGCATATCTCCAGTGCAGATACACACTGACCACTGAATTACATTTTAAAGCAATTTTATAGCTTATAGCTTCAGCGATCACAAATATTCCCACAAAATCTTCTGCCAACCTTCTGAACTTCCCTTTAATTACTATTACAGCTCAAATCTGCCCATTAAGCCCATGTGATCAGAGAAACTAGTGTCTCTCAGCCGATAGATGTTGGTGCTCTTGAGCCTCCACTAGTGATCAGGATGAAGGGACATCTGTGCCATTTGCCCCAGGCTTGGATGTTTCTTTGCGCAAACATGTGACACTTTCCACTATTCAGCCGGGCCCTCAAGGCAATATATCTAATGAGCGTTTCTATGGCCCCTCAGGGCTTGGTGTATTAGCTGGACTTAATGCTTCCGGCCCGTGTGTGCGCCCCCGGGCCAAACATGGCAGCTTTGGACCACGTAATGCTGTGAGGGGTTAAGGATAAGTCTGGGTGGTCAGGAGTGGTGATAAAGTGCAACCGGGTCAGCGTGAAAGCTGTAGCCCTGCTGCAACAACCATCAATGTTAAGGAACATGAAGAGAAGTGGACTGGTTGAGGAGGGACACTATCCCTTACTGGTGCATTACAGAAGTTCAGAACATTAAATAAAAATCATGCAAACTAACTGAAACTTATTTTTTTCCATTGTGTGTAGATGATGATAAAAACTATTTCATCAAATTAGTTTTGATGGATGATTTCAGAAACCAGTCCTGGGTAACTCCTGCCATTTTTCAAATGGAAGTACAAATTTCTGCCCTACAATCTGACATAATTCAAGCTCAAATGCAAAAAAAACCCAGGTTCAATTCAATAGGCAAATCCATTTCACAAGATGACAGGTAAGACCAATCATAAACCAGATGTTTCAATTCAGTTTGTAATAAAAGTGAAAAATGTATTGACATTAAATCTTTTTATATATCATGTACACATGTAAGGGAAAGGAAAAAAATATGATAAAATTGAATTCAATCAAATGAATAATATTATCCATTTGAATAGCTAATTGCTAATTTCTGAGCTTCAATAACATATTTGACATTTTTGGCAAATTACATGTTCTTCCCATCTACATCAGGGATCACTGTAGGTTTTAAAAGTTGCAAAGGTTGAAAACAAAAGCAGACTGACGGAGGAATCAACAGGTGAAAAATGTTGCAAGCACAAACCGTTTTTGAACTCTATCTCCAGCACATCGGGGACGTTGGGAGAATCTTGCGGGTTTTTGGTCATCAGGTACAGGTCAGCCGGAGCATGGCTCTGAAAAAAAAAAACCCACACACACACTCACTCTCTCCATTTCACACACTTTATTCCCTTTGATGAATAACCAGGACCTTCTGGGACCTCATCGAAGAACAGTACTGCGGATGGGGGAGACTGTTGTGTGAGGTGACAACGGACAACTCGAGACACGACGGGGAGATGAAAAGAGAGGGTGATGCGTGAAAAAGGAGAAACCTGAAAACACCACCAAGAGTTGAGTGAAGTCAAAAAACAAAACAAAAATCAATGTTCCATTTTTCTCCTCTATTTGGTTTCATTTTCCGTGCATGGCCCTTCACCGCAGGGGAAGGCGGAGAAAAGTGGGGTGCAGCAAGGAGGAGAGGGGGAAAGGGCAAAAGAAAGAAATAACTCATACCCAAGGATAGTGGACAATTGACAAGTCAAAACACACCTGATACTTTGACTGAACCTATTTGAGCAATGCTACATCCTCAATAATATTCTGCCTCTCTGTAAAAAATCTGCTGTTCTTCCCTACCTGTCTTCACCTCCTCTAATCTGCCAGTTTTCCAGTTAAGATTTTCCAAATGAGGTGTCCCTTTCATTTCATTTCCAAATGAAGAATTTTGCTTAATGGGCATCACACAGCAAAGCCTTAAAAGTCCACACACTAAATCCAGTAAAGTTGTCCAGGGTGACAGACGTTTGTCGTTTTTCCAGTTGGTGGAAGCTGGGAGCGATTTCAGTAAGTCATGGTTGGGACCTAAAAGAGCGTGGCAGTCTGACGTGTCTGCCCAGCGATGTGGCCCTCCAACAATTACACAGCATTAGAACAAAACGATGGCCAATGTCTCCTGAGCTGAAGCAAATTGCAGGGGGACTATGCAAAATAACTACTGGGTGCATTTAAATGGAAAGCTTTACCAGACACTAAATCATCATACAATAACTAATCGGCATCTGCTCGTTGCCTGTCAGTGAGGAGAAAACGAGCAGCGCAATCACTTTCCTTCCTTTTAACTAAACACCAAAATTGACTGGGAAGGCGCCGGTCTTCCTCTCCTTTATTTTCTGCCTCAGCGCCCTGAAAGATGCCAAATGAGAGCAAACAGGAGAGGGGCGAAATAACTACCCTAAAAAGCCTTTTGATGCACACTCTTTGAGGGGGGAAAGATGGACTGAATTTTAAATACAGGAGAATGAGAAAGTCTACGAATCCTGAGGTGTTATATGCTGGTTGTAAACGAATGGTTGTCTTTTTCAACCTTCAAATAAAAACACAGCAAAGCAACCTGTATTGTTTATATAATACCTTTATGGTTTAGACGCAGAATGCATTATGATTGTTATGCATCCAGATTTAGTCTTTCTGCCATAACAGATTGAAGTACATTTGTTTTAATTCTAGCTGTGGTGAAGAAAATATTTAGATTTCCAGTTTTAAAAAAAGTGCCCCAGTTTAAAATTATAATTGAGTTCCCTGGAGTATCTTTGTCTAAAACACAACAAAAGTATTAAGTGAGGAACTGCACTATAGCTTAGAGAAAAACCTCATAACACACATTACCACCTAATCAATTAAAAACATTCCAAAACATGTAGATTCTATCAAGTAATGTTTGAAAACTCATACATGGTCCAACAATGAAAGCTCAAACTTATAGGGGATTGAATACAAAGAGGAAAAATAAGGGGAATAGGCTTGTTTCCAGTGAGCGAGAGATCAATGCATTTCAATTCAAACCCCCTGCAGGTGGACCTGTCCCAAAGCCATGGTCCTGAAAGAGAGGAAAAAGGTAGAGACAGAGAAGGCGGGGGGCAATGGGTATTGGTGGGAAATGGGGCATGAAGCGCACCATCATGTAGCACAGTGCAACTCCTTTGGCAGTCTTTGCTTCTGCCATATTGTTGTGCTAAACGTGGCCCATACAGCAAAGGAGAAGGCTGACGCATGAACTTAAAGCAAGTAAATTTCTATCTTTCCACATATTAGTTGCCTCATTGGTTTTCAATCGAAGCCAGCAGAGCCAAAAGAGGCAGAGGTGGCAGGAGGGAGAGGGGGAGGACGGCAAAAGAGAGTTGAGAGGGAGATGGACGAGAAGAGGATGGTAAAAAAACAAAAAAAACATCTTTTGCGCAGTGGGTTGGAAATGACGCTTAAATCACCACGTTTCAAGTCTGCCCTTCTCTTTAAAATGCAAAAATGGCAAATTGAGATAAAGATAAAACAATATGCACGCCAAGATATTTAACACCAAGGATATTTTGGTTAATGTTAGGGCCTCAGCCGAATTTAGTGAGGACAACAGGCACTTCTACGTGGAGGCAAAGCTACATTGATGCCCGGATGGACACAGGGAGCGCTCGCTAAGTATTACAGGTCAGAACAATCAGACCTGGGGGCAGCGAAGGCACATGACAAATGCTGACCTCTTTGCTTCAAAGCACACATTCAGATGCATACATACACCTACAAGCCCACTTCCTTTCCCTACAGGCAGTCCCCTGTCCATCCATCTTTCCAGCCAGCCAAGCGACCAGCAGAAAACAAGTTTTCATTTCCTCTAGGTGAGCAGGGGCTTGGCGTTACGCTCCTTTACTCCTGGTCAACACGAGCAGTGGCCCATCAGCTCCATGATCAAAGAGCGGAGCGGGCCCGGGGAAGCTCACTGACAGAGACTATAATTAAGACCGAGGTGATGTTTTAATGACTCAGGACGAGTGTCAGGCTGCCTCAGGCTGGGCCCTGACTGCTCATGTGTGGAGGGACAGAGACAGAGGGAGGAGATAGAGGGCTCCTCATCCTGTTTCCTCACTAACAATTGCCATCACAAATCACATTTCCTGGAAATTCCAATTGGGCAACATTTATAGATAAAATATCCAGATGGAAATATTTTTATGGCTAATTCTGTGAATACCTGACCAATCAAAATCCTGTAAATTCAATATTGCCACAAAGCAGTCCAGCTCCCTGTTTTGTAACATTGCCTACAATGGTCAAAAACAAGCAGAGATATTGAAAGGTGAGCATTTAGAATCGCCAATATCTTTCATCAAAAAATGGAGAGTTGACAGTATACATCGTCATATCACCCAACCCTAATGCCAACAAAACCAGAATCTAATGTGGGAGCATTTGTTCAACTTAACAACTTCTAGCTCAACACAGTCGACATGCTAATATAGTATTAAATGTGACTAAACATGATAACAGATAGACGGAGTTGCCCTGGGCACACGTCTTCACATAGGTTAACGCTGCAGGAAGGAGGTAAAGTAAATAAAAAAAGTCATTGTGCTACAGGCAAGATGGTTTAGGGTTATCAGGAAGGATATAGTGTTAATCATAGAGTAACCTGAACCCTGCTGACTCTTATCTACAGGAGAACATATGAGCGACCATTTGGACATTTCTTAATCTGACTGTGTTGAGCAGAGTGGGGCCTTTGTACTACAGGTGGGGGATTGGGGGGTTTGAATTGCTGAGGTCCACCCTGAGCCTTGAGGGCTGTAACTGGAGTAGAGAGAGGGCCTGATACAGAGAGGAGATATTTAGAACAAGATAACCTGCTAGGTCAGAATCTGTCATGTTGGTTTCTGCATTTTGGTGAAAAATTAACTTTGTAAGTTTAATACGTATGTATATTTATTTCCTGCTCAAATACCATTTAAAATATTCATTTTAAACTAGGAATTACACTTAGATATTGCAGTGGTGTTGTGATGTTTACCCTGATCCTTTACAAAAATTGCCAGAGGGGCCCCAAGGTTGTGGCTACTGTAAATTAATTAAACTATCACAGCTTGTTCAAAGTTCAAAATATAATTTTGTGCCGTGGGTAATGTATTCAAATCCTTTTACCACTCTGGTCCCCTGCACCATAAATATTTCATTGTATTTAATGCCATTAATCGATTCAATATTGAAGGTAATGGTCCAACACAAAACCCCTGAATGAAATCAGTTACACAATACGGTCACCATGCATCGCTATGCTATTGAGCCGGTTTGTCTGATTCTTTTCAAAACATTTCTCCACAGGCCGACCAGTAAAGAGGCAGCGGAGGGGTGGGAAAGGGACAGAGAAAGAAAGTGAGAGAGATAGAAGTCTGTGAGTTACAGTGGCCCTGCCCCTGCATCTCCACTCCTGCAGCGCGGGACCCCTCGCCTCCCTGTGACACCCCGTCCATTGGGGACTCATCTGTCTGGCGCGCTGTCTTTGTACTTTACTGTTACTGGTGACATTTTGGTGTCACGGTGTCACGATGAAATGGCTCCCCTCCCACGTCGCAGCCCGCGGCGGCGCAACCAGTGGAACAATGAGGTCCCGAGGAGTTGGGGCTGGAACTCAGGAGGCCCCAGCTGGGCACAACGCCCTAACCCTTCCCCCCTCCCCGGCTCCCATGAAATCGGGAATTAGTCGAAGCGTTGCTGACGACAAGTCAGTGTCTGTGTGTCCCAGGCTCTTCCCAGGGCCTGGCGAGGACCCGGGGTGAGGAGAGACAGAGACACAGACACAGCGACCAAGGGATGGGAGCTTTGGGGGTCACTGGGGGCAACCTGTATGTACTGCCTTGACCTCCGACCACAGCAGAGATCAAACTCAGTCTCACCCATGGCACTGTGGGAGAGTGAGTCGTGTTTGTCTCTGCTGTGACTGGCATGGGTCAGCAGAAGGGACAGAAGCCTTATTGCCATGTTAGTTTTACAGTTGCTCCAAGCGGATGATCCATTCTGTATTAAAAAAAAGTCATTTCTGTCTGTCTGCTGGAAACAGCATGCTTGAGAGGGAGAAAAAGTACATTATTTATTGTACTCAACAGTAAACTCCCAATTTTAATGTCTGTCTCTGATTGTCATATTCCTTGAGCATTACATCATGAATTAGTAGTACAAAACATTAAGTATTGAACCTACAATTGTGCAAAAGAAGTGTTGTTTAAGGCAAAACAACTTTCTTAGTATTTAACCAGCACTTATTCATAACAGCGTCCCGTGTATATGCAAAGAAATCTCTTTAATAATAGTAAGTAGTATATCATACCCTTTTTAGGACTGTTATATTTTTTACTGTAAACATCACAGTCCAAAAGGTTGATGGGGTCAAAAGGAGGACAAAGAATTTGTAGACATGCTGTTGGGAATTGGTCTTACCTTAGGATTCTCCAGGATGCCAGACTCATAGCTGTAAAGGAAGACAATTTAGGAATTTATAAATACAAAAACAACATTGAAACAGGAACTAAAGATTGTGTATCACACCAGTCCTACTCACCTTATATGCATGAGGTTGGCGTCCATGCTCCAGGGTGCCCGAGGAGTGACAGGCACAGGGATGCCATGTTTCTATAGTTAGGCAAAGAAAGCTCTTGTTTTACTTGCTGTTTACCTGTAAGCTAACTGCACCTGAATGTTAGAGTAGAGACTTGAAAGCAGAGCTGTACTTGTCTGTTCAGAAAAGTTGTGAACACAAGGACCCAAGCAAAATATCTCCAGTGGCTGGTTTTTGGCATGCTGTGTAACCAAAATACACCTGTTTCCTCATACAGCTTTAAGAGTACACAGTGAAAATAACTAAAACACTAAACAAAGAAAGATCCTTTTTTTTTGGCATTTTCAAAGGAAAAGTCAACAATTTAGTGTTTTAAGATTGCTGGATTTCACAAGTACTCCACAAGCCAGCAAGAGAGGTGTCGACAGAAACATCATGACCGCCATCTAGTGGGAAAAACTGGTCTAAACCATATAAAAGGGACCATGAGAACAAATGGCCAATAATACGTGTGGTCTCATTAATACGAAGCTAAGAATGGTTAAATGTAAAATTAAAATTACAGGTAGAAATTAAGGATGTAATAATAAATATAATATTCTTCACCAATCTAATCATCTAAATTGAATACACATGGCCTGGGATTTCATTTTAGGTTCAGAAACTGCTGAGTTTTGTCATCACATATGGACAATTAGGTGTTACAGCAGCTCAAGATACAGATAATTAAAAATGAATCGAAATGAGAAATCTCTATCCATTACAATACCTGAGGCAGTTATTTTTGGATGTTTCTGTTATAATGTATTCACTACTGTTTTACTTTTTTTGTTATACTAAACTATAAATTATTTTAATGCCACCATGAACTTAAATGTTCATCAATTACATGCCTTACCATTATTTCTGGACTGTTAAACTGACAAATAAGACATTACTTTGTGCTCTGGTAACATCTGATGGGAATGTTTGGACATTATAAAGACCAAACAAACAAACTTTTGTGATTTTTAACAGACTGATGGAGTTACCTCTGCATATTCCATCAGGTCCTTTCTCCCCCGGAAGCGGTTGTAGAACTCAGGGATCCTCCATGGTGCGATGATCTGCAAAGCACAAAACAGAGTGTGAGAGTGTCGGCCCTGCAGCTGCATCATCATCATTTCAACAGATGCTGTGCCAAACAGTACAAGCCATAACTTCCACACCTTAACGTCAGGGTAGAGGGCGTAGCATGTGAGCTCAAAACGTATCTGGTCGTTGCCCTGAAAAACATAAAACACAATGGTTCAGCTCTATATATCACATGATGTCAATGTTCATCTGTATTTAGCAACTGGATGTGTGTACAGTAGGGCTGCAGCTAACGCCATGAATCACATCCTGCTTTGGTTGTCATTCCTATATTTTCCTGAACGGTGCTCAGTCCGTTTCTTCATCATAAATATAGCTGCATTGTTCTACCACAAATAAAAAACAAACAGCTGGAAAATGTTTGGACACACCTGAAGTTTCATTACTTGAAACTTCATGATGTGGTATCTGTCCCCATCTACAGGCAAATATGGACACTGCAGTTCAACTGATGACTGTCAATTTAATTAATACCTTTGAAGTACAAATAAAACCAGGAAAGAAATCTGTAAAGGTATTGAATAACAAACTGTATATTATGCCGATAACAAAATAGATATAGGATTCCTTCTGAAATTAATCACAATGGATTCTACTACTTTCAATGAAATTATAAATATAATTTTACTTACAATGTGATAACCTAGCGCGCACACACGACATTTCTCTAACGCAGCTGCAGCTTATCCATAGTTTCACATTTTGACCAAAGACATGATGTCAGTGTGATTTCAGATCAGTGTAATTAATTTAGCAATTACGTTGTCATTTTGTAATAACTACAACTCCGATCACTGCTCTACATAGGAGAGCACTCAGTCATTGTCCAGTTTCCAGTAATATTAATTATTTATTTTATTTTGCAGGTGTTTTAAGATAAAAGTGGAAACGCAGAGTGCAATGCTGTTTCACAGGAAAATTAGGAGGCAAAACATGCCAGATTATCCCAGTAACACAAGAACGCAGAAGAGTTGATTTGGCAAAAAAATAAAAATGACAGCCAATGTGTCATGAGAAGACATCTATCCACAGGATTTACTGAAATGACAATGTGACATGGAATCCAGGCTAATATTCAACATTTTTTCATTCACTGCTCATTCATACTACATTTGGCAGGCCTCCAAACCACCAAAACATATTTGCAATTTCCTTTGAACTGCAGTGATTCATTTCATTCAGCTGATGACTCAGAACTGTGTGAGGAAATGTGCAGGCAATTAAGATGGTAACATCTGTTTCAGAATCACAGGAAACATTTCTTTCAATAAATATATGACTGAAAATGATCGTTTCTGAATGAGGGAGGGCAGAAACGACTCTGGGTAGGATAGATCGAAGTTATTATTCAACCCATGGCCTACATCCTCATCTCCAGACTATGGACAGTAACCTTGTTATGTAGTTTGTGTTTAGAAAAGAGTGGCTGGGATTGGCTTGTGGATCAGGCACATCAAATGTAACCACAATGTCTACACTTTAACTTTAGTGTCAGATCATCTACCCAACTTATTCTTTTCTGCCGCAGCTCAAAAATGCAAGAAAATTTAAATAATCTTTAGATTAAATAATATTTTGTCATATTAGCAGAATCCTGGACATTCTCCTTCCTCAGAGTGCAGCCTCTTGTCTTGTGTATGGTTTACCTTTCCTGTGGCACCATGGGAGACAAAATTAGCACCTTCCCTGAGTGCAATCTCGACCTGACGGCGAGCAATGCAAGGACGTGCTACTGAAGTGCCCAGCAGGTATCGGTCCTCATAGATGGCGTTGGCCTGAACTGCGGGCCAGATGAAGTCCTCCACAAACTCTGCACGCAGGTCTTCAATGAAAACCTACACAGGAACACAGAGCAGGGTTTTGTGTTAAGTCTTTGATTCTATTCATCTCAGAAATATTAAAGTTAGGGTAGGCAGCATTGGAGAAACTAGAGACCGCTAGATTCTGAAAGGATACAACCGACAAAATCCCAGCCCCTCACTTCAGGCTAGGTCTGGACGATATGGGCAAAAATGTTATCACGATAAAAAAGTTTCATATCTTTTGATATCGATAATTATCACGATAAGTATCAAATCGTTAATTCTTTTGAATTTAAGGTCTGATTTTTAGTCCTGAGTGAAAGTTGAAGAAACCTGATGGTTATTGTGGTTTTAAACTCTTTTTTTATAGTCATCACTTCACAAATCTGAGGTAGAACATTCAAAACAATTATGATAACATCTTTGTCAACAAATATGTTAAGCTTTCATCAGTCCTTTTTCCTCAACAAAATAAAAATCTTAATAAAAAATGAAGTCCTAATTAGTGTATTATTCAAGTGAATAAAATCAAACATTTATTGAATATTTGTTGCCCACACCAGCTTTAATTAATTATATGATATCTTTCCCTTTTAAGAAAGGAAAAAAAACGATAATTGTCTGCCACAAAAGCTGTTGTGCGCTCTCAAGAATCAGAATAAAGCAGCTACTGATGTCCATTCATTACAGCGTGCCATCACATTGAACATGAAAAGCATGACATCTGAGATTTGATTTATTTATCTGTCAGCTGGCAAAAGGCACTACATTCATGCTGTTGGGAAAATATGGATAAAAAGTGAATTTGGTATCTTACTGCAAAAAGATTGATCTTCAGCTTGTTGAATGTCAGTGTTTCCCTATCAGCACATGAATGCTAAATATTCAAACCAGTACGGGGCATGCTAGGGGTTAAGGTGCCGACCATGATCATCAATATTCCTGGGTTGGACCTTTCAACATTATATTGAAAGGTCAAGGCCTTTGTTTATTGTTTCCCCACTTCTCTCTCCCTCATTCCCCTTTCATATCTCTAGCGCCTGCTGTCTGATGAGGGCTTAAAATGCCAACAAAAAAACAAAAAGTACATAGCAGTGTTATGTGAAACCATCTGCTGCCTGATAAGAAATCAATCTGAAATCTTTGGGCATTTTTGGAAATATGCTGGGTAGTAAATAACAGTTCTTAAAGCAGCATCGCATTTCATTTTGTCTCTTACCTTCTTTGCTCCGAGGCTTTCTGCCTTTTTCCGGGCAGCTTCAAAATCTTCATCTTGCCCAATGTTGGCCTAGAAAAACACACATTGAATTGCACATTTAACGGACGCAAATATAAACATTTTTCTTAATATTTGCAACTGAAGCTACATCAACTGTTAAGCTGTGGAACAGACACAAGCCCCCAGTGAGTAAACATGCAGGCTCGTGACTGTGCAAGTTTTAATTCTGACAATCCATTAACTTGTAATTCAGATCACATCCGCTGAGGAGATGTAATAACCTCCTCACAGCAGAAACCAAGAGGCTGTCTGAGCTCCTGAGTGTAATACTAAACAAGGGAAATTTTCCTACAGAGACACAATAGTGATCTAGTGAACAAAACTGACAAATCTGCAGAATAAACACTTAAGCATGATTTTGATATTTCATTTTAATTGCTGTGCTTTTCTGAGTGCACATGAACAGAACAGTAGAGCTTCAATGCTTCTTAGCATGTCTGTGGAGCTCTGTTGGAGGGATGAACACCATTCATCCACAACATATTCTTTATCGATATATACAAATAACCTTTATTTTATCAGGTAATCTCACTGAGATCAAGATCTCTTTTGAAAGAGAGACCTGAGTACAGCAGACAGAGAGAAAAACAAACACAGCCAGACATAATAAAAGGACTTAACATCAGAGACAGTCACAGACATCACTAAATACATTTGAAGATAAATGTTTATTATACACATTGATGTTATGTAGATAGCGGTGGACAGCAAAATCTTCTGTAAAGGCGACTGTAAAGGCTGTGGCATTTTATTCAAGTCAATTTCAAACTCACCAACTTTTCAGTGAGCCCTGGTGCACGGAAACAGCTGCATTTGACATGTTTCTCCACTTTATTAATTTGTCCAATGTCAGTATATAACAAGGCATTATGACATTACAATGGAACTATGTGAATTCAACTTTATTGTGAAATACACTTATATTTGACGGCAATGTCGGCAACATAGCCACTTGAAAGCATTTGTCGCAGCTTAGTCATTTATAAATGTCTGCAGTTTGTCCCCGATTTTTTATCTTTAAACAGAAGTTCTCATAATACTGGTTGGTGAAAGTAGATTATACATGATTGATGTTATTAACATCATCGGTAATGTTGATAGATGTTATTAACATCTAACAACATTAACAAGTTTCTTTTTAAACCAACAATGTCCTTAACACGCCATCGTACCTGCATACCATATGCATTATTTAATTAACATACAGATATTAACGCGCTAAATTAAAAACCACTGCCACAACAAACACCACAAGCAGTTATTTCTGTGGTATTTCTGCCAGACTGTTTGTTGGTACAATATTCTTTGGCCAGTTGACCCAAGTGCATAGATTTACAGTTTCATCAAAGACCATCAATTATGCATTGGATCAGCGCCTGCTGTTGTTCTTCTGCTACCCTGGAACCAAAGCCAAAAAGATTTGGAAAGGTGCACCTTGTGTGCCACAACATTGAATACAGACAATCACCCATCCTCGCCCCACACCCAATCACAACACCACAGAATGAAAAGTTAGTCAACAGCAAAATCTGCCTGCTGTGCAGTTTGAAACTGCCACAGGGCAAAAAGTAAATCCAGCTAGATTTACGTTTGCATTATGAAGCGAGATCCCGTGGTTGGGGCTTAACCGCTACTGCAGCCAACTCATATATATGCTAAGTTGCATAAACTGTCACTGGAATATTGTAAAACTTTAGATATACGTGACATCCAAAAGCAACTGGTTAGAAACATGAACAAAGACAACGGACACACACAGGTGCCTAAACCCTCACCAAGTACGTGATCACATCGTAGCCCTGTTCCTTCAGCCAAACCAGAATACAGGATGTGTCCAGCCCACCACTGTAGGCCAGAACCACTGTACCTTTACACATGATGAGTGCCGTTCAGTCTAGCAGGTAGAGAAGCTGTGGAGCAGCAGCACAGAAGAGACAATTAGATTAATCAGTAGCCTAGCTGGCAAGGAAATGTGAATATATAAACTGGGGAGTTAAAATAAGTCAAATCTCTAACACCACATGTGGCTTAATCTAGTTTCTTAAAAAGGTTAACATTTAATGCATGAACTTAAATGCTGAAGGTTGACAGAAACAAGCAATATCATGAAGTCACCTTGGGCTTTGGGTATTTATTTTTCACTATTTTTTGACATTTTAGGTCAAGATGCTTTACAGTGAAGTAGCACATAGTGTCCTGTGGAAAAATGGACTACCCGTATTAAAATGTTACTGATAGATTTTAATAAATTTTCCAGCCTAAAAAACCCTCAGCTACATCCCTTGACAGTATAATTTTGTCATCAAACGTTCCTAAAATTCATTATGGCAGATAGCCCCAGTTGACAGAATAAGATTAGTTCTTGTTGGGAATAAAAATGAAAACTACCCAGCAATTTCCACACATCCTGAACAGACCTCTTCATTGAGGTGTGTAGCTAGTGTTGGACCTGTGACAAGCACGCTAGGAGCAGTTCAAGTGAAAATTAAAGAAAGAAAGAAAGGGAGATAACGTTACGTAAGATTTAATTAGTTGTAAATGTAAATGCTCCGTACTTGTATAGCGCCTTTCTAGCGCCACTCAAAGCGCTCTTACACCAGTCACACACATTCATACACTGAGCCTAAGTTTTCAAACGGAAACTAACATTCACACTCACACACTGGCGGAATAGCCGCCAGGGGCAAATCGGGGTTCAGTATCTTGCCCAAGGACACTTCGACACGCAACCAGGGGGAGCCAGGGATTGAACCGCGCTACCTCGTGAGCCACAGCCGCCCCAGTTGGTGTGGAGTTTACACGTGTTTAAACAGCGACAAAATCCTAGCCTGAAGTGAGGGGCTGGGATTTTGTCGTTTACACGTGTTTAAACAGCGATTTCAGATGGGGAAAAAAACGTTTAAGTCAACTACTACCCTCAACGCGAGCTTTATTTAAAAACATTATGGGGACACTCTCTGACCATCCTAGCCCCAGTTTATGTTGCAACACGTTGCCTGGCACGTGGCGACGACGTTTCCATTTATTAGCTAAACATATGCGCATGATATTTTTCTGAGATAGCTTATATTATTAGCTACATTTAGCTACATTTTTGGGAGGGGGATATGCTATTGACGTATTTTGCCACAGCAACTGTCACCCACGCCTGATGAAAAATCAAATCACGGAGGTCGCTTTGGCTGACCGATAAAACCTTACACTGAAACATACAACCACTAAGGTGGAGAGTACTTACTACACAGCGAGGTTTGTGAGGTGAATGAACGTTGTTGCCGTTGGTCTGTCGGTGAGGAGCACAGGAGGGAGAGAAGCAGCTGCGTGTCCTCTTCACCGGCTGTTTGGCTGCTGAACTAGCTGGTTCAATTACTACTTATATTGCGTCATCCCTTCACGCGCACACCCTGGTGACGGGGCAGTTTATTCATACAGGAGTATATACAAAAAGGTAATGATGAAAGATTCTCTTGAGTTGCATCATGGATATGGTGCTATGCTATGCTATGCTTTAATATTTGTAACCCATAGAAGACAATCCACAAATGTGTACTATGATTTACAAATATTTCACTAATCACAAATGCGTGTTTTTACATTTGTGTTGTGTAAAATCATATCCACAAAAATACAGAGTGATGTGTACACACAACAGTTTTTACACATTTACGGATTACTTCCTGTATATTTGTGGGGCTTTTTACTCAACACGTTGCCAGGCACGTGGCGACAAGGTTTCCATTCATTAGCTAAACATACCGCGGTGAAATTAGTTTTAAGTTGGATATTCGACAGAAATTCACCCAGGATCCAGTGACGGCTTTTTAGTCAGTTCACCCAGTGACTGTTGTATAAGTGCGGTTAGCTTACCTCTGATGGCTCGCTTTTAACCAACGGGGGTTAACTTAGGGACCATCAATAAATTACAATTGTGAGAACAGTGTTATGGGAAAATCATTATTTATTTCAATAGCTTCCAAGTCATGTGACACAGGGACTTCAAACCAATGCCGAATTGTAGTACTATACTAGGCAAATGAGACACACCCCTTCATATTTGATTTGAGTGCATTTTTTATTTTATATGAATATTTTTTTCTTCAATAGATTCCATTTCAAATGATTCAGGGACTCAAAACCAATGCCGAATAGTACTACTACCTGTTACACATATTACACACCTCTTGTACAACTGCAGTTGTACCACACAGAGTCAGTCATTTTCTTCCACAGCATTGAGCAGATTTCAAAGAAACACTTTATTTACACAACGGATATTCCCAGTTTCCATTCATTGCCTCTTCATATTGTGTGCTGTCCATTTCCACACACTGAGCATGGAACCACCGTTCACAAACATCACACTGGACCTGTGGAATTAAAATAAATCTTTCGTAACATATACATATATATATATATATATATATTTATTTCAATGTCTGTTGCTTAGATGTAGAGCGGTTGTCCACTACATGGAAGATATATGCCCCCTCTGTATTTGCTCAGAAGGCTGTGCCATTGTTGTGTGAGTGTGTGTGAACGAGTATTAGTTTCTTTCTCATCAGCAGTTGGCACCTTGCATTTATTTCTCTGCCATCGTTGTATGAATGTGTGTGTGAATGGGTACCAATAATCTTCTTAGCGGTTATAATCACCCACTGCGGAGCCCTCCTGTCCTGGGCCGTGCACATCCCATGCCAGGTGGTGAAGTTTCCAGTCAGGATGCTTTCTATGACTTCTCTATTAAGGTTGACAAGAATTTGGCATGGGAATGTAGAGTTCTTAAGCTTCCTTTAGAAATTAATTTATTACTTATATAAAGTATCCAACGAGGGTTAAAATGAAGGGCAACTGGACTTGGTTGAAGATACTGGAAGACGTTTCGTCCCTTATCCAAAGGACTTTTTCAGTTCTGACTGACTGGCAGGGAAACTCAGCTATTTAACCTCAGTGGGGTCGTTGGCCCGGGTCATCGATACCGCTGGTTCGTTAGTGTTCCTTGGTGTTGACAGTCGTTGAGACTACCTGTGGCCAAGACTGAACGACCATCGTTGGTATCTTCACCTGAGGCCAATGGGTTACGTTTGTTGAGTTTCCTGGGAAGTGATGAAAGGACAGCATTGTAAGTGGGGGATAAGTGGTGGCGTAGACCCCCTCCCCTGTTCAATGACGGCTTCTCAACCCTGGTGTAGATGGCTTCCTTGACACCTCTTTCAAACCATCCATCTTCTCTGTCTAAAATGTGCACCTGGTGGTCCTCAAACGAGTGTCCTCTGTCCTTCAGATGTAAGTAGACTGCAGAGTCTTGACCTGAGGAGTTGGCCCTTCTGTGTTGAGCCATGCGTTTGTGTAGTGGTTGTTTAGTCTCCCCAATATACAGGTCTGTGCATTCCTCACTGCATTGGACCGCATACACTAGATTGAAAAATAAAAAATGCACTCAAATCAAATATGAAGGGGTGTGTCTCATTTGCCTAGTATAGTACTACAATTCGGAATTGGTTTGAAGTCCCTGTGTCACATGACTTGGACGCTATTGAAAAAAAAAGGCATTATATTACATAAATTATGAATAAATATTCATAAATTCGAATATGCACTCAAATCAAATATGAAGGGGTGTGTCTCATTTGCCTAGTATAGTACTACAATTCGGCATTGGTTTGAAGTCCCTGTGTCACATGACTTGGAAGCTATTGAAATAAATAATGATTTTCCCATAACACTGTTCTCACAATTGTAATTTATTGACGGTCCCTAAGCTAACCCCCGTTGGTTAAAAGCGAGCCATCAGAGGTGAGCTAACCGCACTTATACAACAGTCACTGGGTGAACTGACTAAAAAGCCGTCACGATCCTGGGTGAATGTCTGTCGAATATCCAACTTAAAACTAACTTCACCGCGGTGCTAAACATATGCGCATGATCTTTTTCTGAGATAGCTTATATTATTAGCTACATTTAGCTACATTTTTGGGAGGGGGATATGCTATTGACGTATTTTGCCACAGCAACTGTCACCCACGCCTGATGAAAAATCAAATCACGGAGGTCGCTTTGGCTGACCGATAAAACCTTACACTGAAACATACAACCACTAAGGTGGAGAGTACTTACTACACAGCGAGGTTTGTGAGGTGAATGAACGTTGTTGCCGTTGGTCTGTCGGTGAGGAGCACAGGAGGGAGAGAAGCAGCTGCGTGTCCTCTTCACCGGCTGTTTGGCTGCTGAACTAGCTGGTTCAATTACTACTTATATAGCGTCATCCCTTCACGCGCACACCCTGGTGATGGGGCAGTTTATTCATACAGGAGTATATACAAAAAGGTAATGATGAAAGATTCTCTTGAGTTGCATCATGGATATGGTATAATGCTATGGAAGATTTAACTGCTTTAATATTTGTAACCCATAGAAGACAATCCACAAATGTGTACTATGATTTACAAATATTTCACTAATCACAAATGCGTGTTTTTACATTTGTGTTGTGTAAAATCATATCCACAAAAATACAGAGTGATGTGTACACACAACAGTTTTTACACATTTGCAGATTACTTCCTGTAAATTTGTGGGTCACGTTACATTTGTAAGTGGCTTTTTACACATTTGTGGAATTTTGTACAATGTGTACTGCAGTGATCTGTAAAAATATATATACACAAATATGTCACTACCCAAAACGTGTATTTTTACATTTGTGTTGTGTAAAATCATATCCACAAAAATACAGTGCGATTTGCAAATACCCACAATTTAATCTGTACAAAGATCTTTTTATTTCATATACAAAGTGTTATTTAAACAATTGTGGATCCATTTCTACACACAAAACTGTTTTTACACATTTGTAAAACTTTCCTCTTCCATGTACATTTACATTTTACTGTACATTTGGCTGTCAGTTTTATTCCCCCCCAAAAGATGAAAAGAATGTTATCATGTCCCCATAATCCCCAGACGTACTGCAAGGACAGATACAATGAGTGTGAATTGATCACGGGTCTGTCACGCGAAAGGCGAGAGCATTAACCACTGTACTACGGATTTCACCCTCTCACCCCTCATAAAAACCACCCAACATATATTCATACTTTTACTCGCACATACTAAGCTCGCGCATACATACAAATTCAGTTTGCATATATATACATACTTTACCTCGCGCATATATACATACTAACCTTGTGCATATATACATACTAACCTTGTGCATATATACATACTAACCTTGTGCATATATACATACTAACCTTGCACATACATACATACTCACCCTCACATATATACATTCTTAAACTCGCGCATATATACATACTAACCTTCCGCATACATAAATACTCACCTTGTGGATACATACATACTTACAAATGACAGTATGTATGTATGAGCAAGCAAAGTATTCAATTTTGGCCTAGGCGTTTTCTCATATTTAGGTAACGTTATATAGTGATAAAATCAGTTGGCTAGGATAATTTGACAGATCAGTGCAGAATGATCATTATCTTAGTGACAGTAAACCATAATGTCACTGCACTATGTTGTATGATTACAGGATTTGATGTGAAGAGGATTTCCTACAATAAACAGAAAAAGAACACTAAGTGACAGAAAAGAACATTATGTGACATTAAAGAACATTATTTGACAGTATGGAATGAAGACTGGCTAAATGAATATGTGCATGTGAGTGTGTGTGAGAGAGAGTGTACAGGGCTGTGTGTATGTTGTGTGTGTGTGTGTGATTTTCCAATTTGTACCAGAACCAATAATTCTATATGGTAGTGAAATTTGGTGGCCAAAACAAAACAATCATGGAATCTTTCCATACCGAGTTCTGTAAGAGCATCCTGCAGGTGCAGAGAAAAGCACCAAATAATCTGTGCAGAGCAGAGCTTGGCCAATACCCCCTCTTACTAAAAATACAGAAAAGTTCAATTAAATTTTACAGTCATTTAAAATCAGTTAACCCCCAGACATCCTATCACAAAGCCCTAACATACCAGGAGCAGAAACCAGCTGGTCCCGAGGCTCTCTGCAGTAACAAGTCCCCAACAAACTCAAGACAGCAACACCAACTCAAGGAGACCAAACCAAATCATTACCAAGCAAAATGATGATATATCTCCTTATGCCATGAACTGAGGACAACCAGTGGAAACTCATAACATTATATTATCTATTACTTATCAGTCTATTATTTTGATTGTTTCATATTTTAGTAATTGTTTTGAAATTTCACATTTGATACTGATTTTTTAGTTTTTTATTTATTTAAATTAATTAATTAACTTTTTATTTTTTATCAATTAATATACACACACACCCCTGGTTGCCCCGGCCTTTCTGTGTGGAGTTTACATGTTCTCCCCGTGTCTGTGTGGGTTCTCTCTGGGTGCTCCGGCTTCCTCCCACCGTCCAAAGACATGCAGACTAGGTTAATTGGTGAACCTAAATTGTCCTTAGGTGTGAGTGTGAGAGTGACTGGTTGTTTGTCTGTGTATGTATGGCCCTGCGATGGATTGGACCTGTCCAGGGTGTACCCCGGCTTTCGCCCAATGTCAGCTGGGATTGGCTCAAGCCCCCCACAACCCTGTACGCAGGATAAGCGTATGAATGGGATATATTATTATAATAACACACACACGTTACTGTTTAATTAATTTATTTTATTTTACATTTTAATATATTTTATATTTTATTTTAAAAATTTTTTACCACACACACACACACACACACACACACTGTTTTATTTATTTAATTTAATTTAATATATTATTTTCATTCTCTAACACACACACACACACGTATGAAATTAATTGTTCTTATGTAATCTATATGTAGCTTTGGCAATACTGTTGTTATACATTCAAGCCAATAAAGCTGATTTGAATTGAATTGAATTGAATTGTTTGTGGGATTTATCGTTTTGAAGGGACGTGCTATGTACTTGTACATGTATTCCTTCACAGTGAAGAAGGTGCAGGGGCGTGTCTAGACTTTTTTGATTGGTGTGGCACAAATGGGGCAGTGATTTATGCAGGGGTGGCATGAAATATGTGTCCCAACAACAATGTTTAGGGACCCTAGTATGCAGAAATATTCAAATACACGAGGCAGAAATAACACATTTATACCAAATGCAAAGAAAATGCATGATTTTTGCCCCAAACTGCATGGGATTAGTATAAAATGGGTATGTCTGCAAAGGGGAGACTCACCCATAGAACCCATTTTCATTTATGTATGTTATGTATCTTGGGGTCAGAGGTCAAGGGATCCTTTTTAAGATGGCCATGCCAGATAGCTAAACTTTGGAGTGTTACTTTGCCCACTTCCCGCAAACTAGCATCATGCTAGCATGACACAGTTGACCCTTTGCTAAGCCACACCCCGAATACACAGCTGGCCAATCACAGCGCAGTATAGGACTCGCTCTAACTGAGGTCCGACACTTTCATGGCTGCGCTCCATTTACTAATGCTAAAGGAGTCGTTTTCCAGACTTTTCCCAGAAAAATGTAGGCTGTGGGTTGTTCCTAATGTGATATTAATTGAGTAACGCTAGCTAACTTCCTAACTGAATGCTAACTGAATGTAACATTATAAAGCCCTACCCAGCTTTACAAGAACAGCATTGATCCTTAATATTGTTGTCTTTTGTCTCAGTTGTCGGGGGATGCGGTGGTTCACTTATACTGTGTGATCGGTAGGCTTAACTTCTATCTTTCATTTTTATCAAGTCTGTTTTGTCAGTTTGACAGCCTGAATAAAACCTTCAAATGTATATGCAACTGCAAAATTGTCTGCTTCTTCTGAGATCACTTTTTTCAACAAATATTTCAATATTTCTCCGACAGCTCGACAGCTCTGTCGGACTTAGCAACAGTAACTAAGGTGAGCGTGGCTTAGCGAAGGGTCAATTGGTACCTATGGATGTGGCATCTAGTGATATATGATACCAGTATCTTCACTCTGGATTTAAAATGGAAGATGTCTGAAAGATCCCATCTGGACACGCCCCTAAAGAAGTGGAGAGAGTGTATTTAAGTAAAAGGACATTGTTTTTAGCATATAATCAGCAAGTCACATGGCATCCATTCTAATAGCATGGGGACACATTCTAGTGAGTAGGGACAGGCAACAAAAGCTATTATTTTGAAGATATTGTATTGTAAAGGGCACCTCTATAAGCTTTTATTTTGAAACTCCAGCCTAAGAAAAAGAGTGGCTTGACCTAATCTAGTAAATGCATCTTGACCAAGCCAGGTTGAGGAGAAGCAACTCCGTGAAGCCAGGTGAAAGTTATTTGGATAAATGTACATTCACAGATTTCGTCAAGAGACTACAAGGTCGATCACAGATTTATTGATGCGGAAATGGAGAAGACGCCTGCAGAATACTTTACACACAGTGCGCAACAGCGAACAATGTAAGTTTACGAGGAATAAAAGTATACCATTTTAATAATGAAACACGGCCGCTGTAATAAAACAGCGAGAAAAAGCAGGGCAGACATCAGCGGACCCAGGCTTGTAGCTAAAAATATTTACATTTACTAACCACTGCTCTTAACTGAAACAATCAGAATTATAATGTTTCTATTAGAGGAGTTATTTGTCATTTACACAAATTAACTGAGGTACACTTAAAAGTGAGAAGTGGAAGTTAATGTCACTCTGGAAAGTATTACCGGTAATTACAACCACTATTCCACACATACTAAAGACACAGAGAGAGAGAGAGCTATGTCCATAAATAAGAGATAAAAAGTCAGTGATGTACTGCTCAGAGAAAATATCACATTTGATTTGTAACAGGACCCTGACGCTGCACAGCCTGGTAGCCGGTCTGGCTACATAGTGAGTATTAGTGCTAACTGATTTGTGTTTCACGGTCAACTGTCAGATGTCTGTACAGCACACACATGATAAAATGAACAAAATAATGATCAACAGAAAAACTCCACAGGACTAGATGTGGAGATAAAAAGAGACAATGAGGAAATTGGACTTGGAAATCAATAAACTAGAAAGAGAAGAGATCATTTCAATCCACACTTAAAACATGGAAATGTATTAATCATCAATTTTTTTTAATAATAAATAAACAAAAGGCCAAAAGACATTTTGGTGCCCTCTCCCTGTTGTTTCATGAATGTACAGTACACTGTATAGTTATTGGTCAGAATCAGAATGAGAAATTTATTTCAACTTTATTGATCCCAGAGGGGACAT